GTTGTCAACAACAAGGGCAATGAAGATGGCGAAGGTGGTGGTGATGATAGTCCTCTTGTTCTTGATAATGCCTTTTCTCGTCATTATTACTCACCCCTGTCTGAGTCTCATTATAATGACATCTTTTCTCAAAAGACTTTTCGCTCTGAACGTTCTATTGTTGTATCTCACTTTGAAAAACTTGGTCTTATGGATCTTCTTAAAAAAGTTGGTCTGGATAAATCTGTGATGAATGTTGGTAAGTTATGCTCGAGGTTGGTTGCAGAAGTTTATTCAAAACTCTCTTCGTCTGTCGCAAATCCTAGCTCGTTGAAGTTTCAACAAGTGTTTGTTCGTAATACTGTCGTACTGTTTTCTCCTATGGTTATCAACTCTTTGCTCAGGGGCGGATCTAGAAAAATATATTGAGGGGCAATATTACTTTCAATAATGTAATACATTTAATATAAGAGCAAAAAATGCATATGTTTGAAGCTACGATACAACTAAAATTGCATAGTGTACGTTCTTTAAGTCATGAAAGCTATAGATATTGAACCAATAAACTTTAAAATAAAGATATAAAACAAAAAAATTAGGCTCTCATTCTCTCAATTAATATTATATATGTTTTTTCAACCATAGCAAATGCATATTTACAGTATTTTTATTTATCAAATTAGTTCTCATATAATCATAAAATGAAGAAATAAATAAAATAAAAGATTGTGTATAGAGAACTTACAAATTATAGCTAAAAATAAAAGTAAAGTGGCTTACATGATTTTTTGTTTATTTAGAGCAAATAAAAATAAGTACAATAGGAGTATATATATAAATCCTTGGAGAACAATGGCTTCTTCCAATAACAATGTAGATCCGCCCCTGTTTGTGCTGGGTCTAGGCGAAAGTTCATCCCTATAGCCTCTGAATGACAATCTCGATGAACTAGCCTTTGCTCGTACCGGGGGACAACTCAACAAATGGCTCTCACCTGGGTTGTTTGTTAAAAGTCTGACCCTCAGGCCAATGCACTACAAAAAAATTGGCTATTTAAACTGGACTCTGACTTTGCACAAGCAATTTGTGACACCCATAGACGTGTGAAAAGAAATTTGTAAGCACATTTCCTATGTTCTAATTAGGCACGTGTGAAAACGAAGACAGAGTCGTGTGTAGGGCTGCAAACGAGTCGAGCGGCTCACGAGCCGCTCGCGAGCGCTCGAGTCAAAGTTCGACTCGAGCTCGAGTTTGACCGAACTCGAGTCGATCTCGAGCGGCTCGAGCACGAACTCGAGTCGAGCTCGAGCCTATATTTTGCCTCGTCGAGCGGCTCGAGATATACGTTAATGACAAAAATACCCCTTATTATATATATTAGTATAGGTGCTTAATGGTAATTTTATCTAATTTTCGAGCCGAACTCGAGCCAAGCTCGAGCATTTTGATTTCGAGTCGAGCACGAGCCGAGCTCGAGCTACTGTAATTTCTTATCGAGTCGAGCTCGAGCCTAAAAAATCGAGCTCGAGCTCGAGCAGCTAAAAAAAAAACTCAATCCTGCTCGATAATGTCATTGCTCGACTCGACTCGGCTCGTTTTCACCCCTAGTCGTGTGTACCTTTTGAGATGAAACAAACAATAATAATCTACATGAGAAATTTCCAATTTAGCCCAGTGGGTATGGTATGTAAAGACATACAAGTTTTCACGAGGAAAAAAAAAATGAATTCAAACAAGAGCGTTTATTCTCAACGGTCGGTCTCTCGTCACATAAATTTTCAAACCCAAACAAAAATA